GGGGGGGGCCCAAGGGGTGAAAAAGCCAAGGGCCGGTGAGGGAAACTGAGGCCGAGTTGCTGCATCTGCCACAAGGGGATGTGCTGGGGTGGCAACGTTGCTGCTGGGCCCTAGGAAGCCCTTAGGCAAGAGAGACGCGCGGTTCATCTACAAGGCCTGGAATGGGATCGTGCAGCTGGCTTAGCTCGGGGCCCTGGGGCTGTTCTCGGGCGGGGGCGGCCCTGGAGGCCCTGTCTACACTTAGGCAGAAGTTCCAGTTCAGATCCACAACTCCAGCTAATTACATTCATTGTGTAGCTGGAGTCAACGTGTCTTAACTCGAACTTCCCTGACGTCTCCACCGTGGGAGGCCAACAGGAGCAAACTCTCTCGTCGGCTTCAAATCATGGAATCAAAGAATCACAGAAGACCAGCACTGGAAGGGACCCTGAGAGCACCGAGTCCAGTCCCCTGCCCGCCCGGCAGGACCAAGCACCGTCTAGACCAGTGGTCCTCAACGCAGTGCCCGAGGGTGCCATGGCGCCCACCAGGCCATTTCTGTGCGCCCACCGAGTGATTGGGGCCGGCCTGGGAGCTGCGAGTCGGCAGTGAAAGGGCAGAGGCGGGTTCATGCATCACACGTTTATTGAGAGAAAAGGTTCTTTGCCAGCGCAGTGGCCTGGGCTGAGCTGGCCAGAGAGGGACACACCCCGAAGCTGCAGCACCAGCTCCTGGCTCCCTGGCCGGGGCCCCAGAGTCAGGACACGGAGCAGTCCCTCAGCAGGGCACCCCAAAGCGGCTAATGCAGGGGGGAGGGGCAGGCTTGGGAGAGCAGCTACCGGAAGGGGAGAGCGACTGGGTGAGGAGCATCCTCCCCAGCCCGATCCGTAGCAGAAGGACCCTCAGCCTGGCCCCGGCTTCATGCAGGCTGGATGGGGAGGCCAGCAGAGAGGTCCCAGGTCCCCTAGGCCTGGGGCAGAGGTAGCTACCAAGGCCCTGGAGAGGAAGAAGAGACATGAGTTAGAGGCTCAAGTGAGCCTGAGCTGATGGCTCTGGCCAACATGCTGTGCTCAGCTCTGTCCCACACCCATCGTGTACTGTTAGCAGATGGGATGGATGGTGTGTTCAGGGGCACGCCCCTGGGGCTCGCTGCATTGGGAGATCAGACACATGGCCCGGGCTCCCAAGCCGCCCACACCAGCACCCCAAATTGTAAACTGGACAAGTGTTTTCGTTTCCAATCTGGTCCCAGACGCTGCGATTCCCGCGCTCTCCCTGTGGATCCTGTCTCTGGCGCTAGTGCAGCCCTAAGTCACGTGAAACGCTGTTCTCCATCGCTCGGCGGCTGGAGCAGAGCCCCACTGAGCTGCTCCACGTGTGTGTGCTGCAGCCTCCTGCTCCGGGATCCCATCCCACACGGCCTGGGCGTTAGCTCCCCACAAACAGGTTTTTGCTCCCCGCCTTCCAAGGGGATTTCTCAACAGCCGGCCCTGCCCAGAGGGGAGGGGCCTGCCGTGCTATAGGCTGCAGAAGTGAATTGCCCTGGGGACTCTCTGCACGGGGCGGTCGGACACACCGCCGGGCTCCCAAGGAACCCAAACCACCTGTTCTCCCCAGACTGGAAGCCGGGGTTCACCCCCCCCGGTGGGACAGAGCTGTGTGGGGATGGCTCCTTGCCTGGCCCCGGGTTCAGAGCAGCAAGATGAGACTGGGTGTCCCCGGGGGGGGGGGTGACATCAGAGCTGGGGGCGTCTCAAGCAGGGGTGGGCAGCAATTTTAGCAAGGGGGCCACTCCATGAATTTTGGGATGTGGTCGCCGGACGGGTCCAGGGCCTGGGAAGGGGCGGGGCTTAGGGCAGGAGGGTGAGGGTGGGGCTACAGAGAGAGAAAGTGAGTGTGTGAGAGCAAGAGAGCCACTGGGTGTGTGCGACACTGCGTGTGTCTGGCACAGACAGGGGTGTGTGTGTGTGTGTGTGCGCGCGCGCATTGCGTGTGTCTGGCACAGAGACAGGTGTGTGTGTGTGTGTGCACGCATTGCGTGTGTCTGGCACAGAGACAGGTGTGTGTGTGTGTGTGCACGCATTGCGTGTGTCTGGCACAGAGACAGGTGTGTGTGTGTGTGCACGCATTGTGTGCGTCTGGCACAGAGACAGGTGTGGGTGTGTGTGTGCGCGCATTGTGTGCGTCTGGCACAGAGACAGGTGTGGGTGTGTGTGTGCGCGCATTGTGTGCGTCTGGCACAGAGACAGGTGTGGGTGTGTGTGTGCGCGCATTGTGTGCGTCTGGCACAGAGACAGGTGTGGGTGTGTGTGTGCGCGCATTGTGTGCGTCTGGCACAGAGACAGGTGTGGGTGTGTGTGTGCGCGCATTGTGTGCGTCTGGCACAGAGACAGGTGTGGGTGTGTGTGTGCGCGCATTGTGTGCGTCTGGCACAGAGACAGGTGTGGGTGTGTGTGTGCGCGCATTGTGTGCGTCTGGCACAGAGACAGGTGTGGGTGTGTGTGTGCGCGCATTGTGTGCGTCTGGCACAGAGACAGGTGTGGGTGTGTGTGTGCGTGCTCGTGCCACGGAGCCGGACGTGGGGCGCCACGTGCGCTTGTGCGGAGCGATCCCGGCCACTAGAGGGGTTTGCTGCTTGTCACCAGCAAAGCCTTGAGAGAGCCAGGCCAGGCGGCAGTTCAGGGGGCCCAGAGTCCCACGCTCGAGTTTCTCTGGCATCCCTACAGCGGGAGGCTGACGGGAGAAAACCTTCCCTTTCTCCCACGACCCGGTGGAACGCCAGCGTCGATGGGGCCCCGTCAATGGTCAATGTGGCAGGTGCCTACCAGACCCGCTAAATCGAACCCCGGGAGATCGATGAGCACACCGTCAATCTCCCGGTGTGACATAGTGGGGGTGTTGCCTGCTCTTGTAGTCCTGTGTTCACTCTGCTGTTACATTCACTCTTTGCTATATTGTGCTGTGTGTGCGCACACGTGCGTGCACATGCCTCAGTTTCCTCAGGCACTGCAGCACTCTCTGCACGAGGAGGGAGAGGCTGGGGATGACTCCCTGCAGATGTGTGCTGGGCCCACACACCTGAGGGCCAGACACAGGAGATAACTCCTGTCAGGGAAGGGAGGCAGGCCAGGCGGGGCAGACTCCAGGCTGGGGGTAGGGCCTGGGGGAAGACTCAGCCTCCTCTGGGCTAGGATGAGAGAAGGTTCTTAGGCCAGGAAAAGGAGGGAGAGGGGCCCGGCCCCCCTCCTCCCCGAGAGAATAATGCTGCCAGCCCTTGGTGCCTCTGTTAACACGGATCTTACGCTGCGCTGTGTCCCTGTGGGCCAATAACCCTGTTCTGCCTGCCGGCTGAGACTCACGTCTGGCTGTGGAGGGGGTGCAGGGCCCAGGGACTCCCCCGCACCTTGTGACATCCGGCAAGTGAAGACGAGCCCTCGGTGCTACCAGGAGAGCAGCGTGAGCAGCCGCGAGCGACTGCCGGCCTGGGGAGCGCAGGGCTGGTGCAAGCGGAGCCCAGCTGGTCTCCCAAGGAACATCCCCATCCATGCCACAGCCTGCACCCGCCCCCGTGTCCCAGCCAGGAGAGAGGAACCCACGTCTGGCAACACTAAGACTCCGAGCCCCGGGCGAGGG